GTATGAGCTTTTCCTGTTCCTACTCAACTGAAAAACTAAAAGTTATTGTTACTAATGTTTACTGTATCTGACAAATTCCAGTAATGCCCCCCCCCCCCGGGATTCAAAACCAGGACCTTCTGGTTATCAGACGAGCTCGTCAACCATTAAACCACTGGTACTCGGTGGGTGCTACTGGTAAAGAGTCCCAAACTAAGCTGACGAAACAGCTGTCCAGTACTCCCAGCTGGTTTTCCAATGGTTCTCTAACTGATGTGTCAGCTCATGATGAAATTCTCCAACCAATCAAACAAAATCCCTATAAAATCAATACTCGAAAATCTTAAACAGTTTATTTAATTTCTGGTTTTCGTTTCCTGTGTCCCAAGTGGGATGTAGGGCTTCAAGACTTTTGAAATTTCGATACTGATGGTGTTGTTTTTCAGGAGTAAGGTTGCTCAACCTTCTCTCTTTCTCCAGGCTTAATGAAAACTAGGTGAAATTCGAAAGTGTGTTGGCTGGGAATCAGATACTGTCCACTCGCATGGCTGGTGAGCATCCTACTTTTGGACTAATGAAACACACTCATCTGAACTCGACTGCCAACTGTAAAGAGTTATTGTTTCACGAAAAATCTTGTGAACGAGTTATGGATTACTGTCAGTGAACAGTTGTTTAAAACCACAAAACAGTATAATTTAAATAGTCGATAACAGAATAAGTTCTGCCAGAAGTCATAACTGCAACATCTTTGCTTTATCTGTGAATATTGTGTGATAAGATGAGTCTCTGAATAGCAATCGAAATCATACTATCAGTACTGAGATGTTGACGTGATTTGTTAAATAAACAGTAAATATATGTTTCAAGTTTGACCACAGATTAATTTCACCCACAGAAACAGTGGAAACTGGGGACTACTAGATAGGCTAAACTCTCCGGTAGCACACACCCACTGGGGTTCGAACCCAGGACCCTCCAGTTACTCAACCACTGTGACCTGACGCACTGTCTGGTGAATTCTGTCTTTTACCAATTGGTGATTTTAGCGTGACCACAAGCCGATGTCATCGTTGGCGAGAATTTGTCCTCACTCCCGGCCGGGTGAAACCTACTGGTCATAACTTCTCACAACACCTTCAGGTAACAATTTTTACCAAGATTCAAAAATAGTTGTAAGTCATGTCGGTTGATTCTGTTTTTAAACCCAAAATATAAGTTTTCACCAGCTACACTGTGAATAATGTCTATTCGAAGATAAAAATCAATTCGGTAAAACCTCCATCCTACCTGTAGAAACGATGGGATTAACAGTTGTTGTTGTTGTTATTGTTTATGTAAACAGTTCAAAATAACTCTAATCAATAATTAGCCAAAATAAAATTCTCTTCAACCAATGAATTATAAACAAAAACAACAACATTTTCCTAGGACTTTAAGAGGAAATAAACATTTCGAAAACAACTAATTTGGCGAAAAAATGTTTACTTTTCAATTAGATCCTCATTAGTAGGTCTGTAGTTATATATATATATATATATATATATAACTTTTTTAGTAAAATACATAACGTACCAATCTGATGATGAATACTGTGTCAGCAACTATTCTTTAATGTCAAAGAATGTCAAAGAAGTAATGATTGGCAAAATAAAAATTAAGACGACGAATGCAGAAATGCCTACACAGTAAAATTATGAAATCATGCAAAACTAGACAATGGGCCTTTGGAAGATGTAACTAATGAACTAGAATGTTGTTGTCGGTACATGGATGATACATTTTTGATTATGGAAAATGAGGATGAAGCAGAGAACGTCCTGGATAAATTTAACGATGTCCAACCTGCAATAAATTTTACTATCGAGAAGGAAAGAGACTCTAGTTTTTCATTCTTAGGTGTCCTTATGACTAGAGGAGAGGACAGTACAATAAGAAGAAGTGTATATAGAAAACCAACACCGACTAATCAGTACAATCATTTTTTTTCAGCTTCGTGCCTTTGAAATACAAAAGCAATCTAATAAAGTGTTTGGTCCGCAAAAGAGCAAGAGGAAATCGCGCTGATGAATGCCTTAATGACGAGCTGAATATTATTAAACAGTTATCCAGAAAAATTCATCGATAAGAACATAAATCAAAATTCAAGGTAGACCAAAGTACCAACAGCTCCAAAAAGCCTTGTTCTTACAATTTCAGTTCGTCGGGGAGAACATCAGTGAGATTTTAACACAACGCCTAAGGAATGCGGTAAAAAGAGCATTCAGTGCTGCTGAAGTATTCTGTGTCTTCAAAGCCACTCCTATTTTGCGTTCGGGAGTAAGAGATAAACTGCCTAATTTCGCCTCTTCTATGTGTATCTACCAGTTTGACTGCTCCTGTGGAGCCACTTACATAGACCGTACAATTAGGCCTGTTTATCGTCGGGTTTCTTAAACACTGCCTTCTGTGGTTAAGTAGAAAACAAAAAATCCATTCATAGCTCTATGCTGTCTCATCTCATGGATACAGAACACGAGAATGGTGTTAAAAAGACAGCTTTCACAGTTATCTACGGCATACCAAATAATCTTAACTTCGCCTCAAAAGTTCGTCTACTACATACTGCTGAGGCCGTTGGGATCCACTTTAGTAAACGTAACTTATGTATCCCAAAGAAGTTGGTTCAGTCACTGTCCTTACCTTGTCCATCAAGGTTTTAATGATCCTCAATTTGATGTGGAAATTTCCTCAATTTTATTTGATATTCTATTTGCTACTGCATTTTTATGCCTATTATAACTTAAGGGTCTTTCTTGAACTGTAGTTTCGTTGATCTAAACAAATCAATAGTATTTAAAAAACACCAATATTGTTAATAACGATTATTCTAGAATATTCTGTATATATAATCATATATAAATATAATGGCAGATCCAGAAGAGGAAATTATAGAAAAGGTTATTCCTTGCCCATTTTTTCTAAAATGAAGACAGTTTTTTTTATCTAATAAGCACTTAGTGTGATGTAAAGAAAAATGAATGAGTAGTCAAATTACTGGAACCAATTACATGACTACAGTTAATGGTGAGGTAGTCAAATTAATAATAATAGTAAGGTAATAGTAATTTGTGATTAGGATTTTGTGATACTAAGTATTTAATTTTTACACTTATATATGTTGAACTGTGAAGAAGATCAGGGCAAAGGAATTGGCCTACAGATTTCTTATAAACTTGACGAATTGTATTATTTCGTTAACTGTTCTTACGACCTTACAAACTCTTTACAAATCAAAGACATCCTAGTAGGAACATAAAACTTATTTTATATTAATAATCAAGATTATTTATCGAAGATTTATTAATTAGTTACAATAGTGAACATACTCTGTTGATTGGTGGTCATTTGAGATTACACTGATTTAGATATTCGAATGAACAGAAAAAAGCTGACCTTTGCTGGATTATCAAAAAGCATGTTTAAGTCGGTTAACTGATGGCTAGTGAGAATGATGATATTTGCTTCCAATCACTTTTATGAATCGTTCACCTAAAAATTTACTACACATAACATGATGTGTTTTCATTTAAGATATAAATTTGGTGACTTGCTCTCTACTCCGTTTGGTTAGTACAGTTTAAGTACATTTGGGTATTCATGAATGAAAATGAGTCATCATCGATAAGGTTAAAAGACTGTATACTGTTCAAACATTAATTAAATAGTCACTTTTGAAGGAGGACATGATGGTAGACTACACTTCTGTGATGTCCAATTGAGCTGAAGAAAGGATGGTTCACTCAAGATAGATGTCTGTAGAAAACCTAAGTCTGTAGGACAGTATACACATTTCTTCAGTTCTGTACTAATCCGATACGAAATCACTTTGGTTAGACACCTCACGAGCAAGAAGGATCTGTACAGATGATTCCCTAGAAAATGATTTAAGATACAACCAAAATACGCCTATCCAGTTAGGTTATCCTAGTAGATTTGTAAGAAGACACATGAACATCCGGTATAATAAAGAGAAAATGACAACAGCTAAGACGAAACAACTTTTCCTAAAATTGCAATTTAATAGGGACGTGGCTAGTGAAGTCCTACATCTAAGATTATCGATAGCAATAAAACGGACTTATAATGCTACCACCCTTTGTTTTTCATTTTTCAGCAGACCAATCATGATTGTTCAAGAGGAAGACAAGCTGCCTAGCTGTGCCACTTATATATGTATCTAAAAATGTTTCCACCCTTGCGGAGAAACCTATATAGGCCGAACAACTAGACACTTCAACAAACATAAATATTAAATATTTAGGTTATGAGATTTTGTAGGGATTTGAAATATTTCCAATGCAGATTTTATAACGAAACGACATCAGTTAGAGATCACTAAAAACCATGGAGCATTGGACAACCACTTCATCCTAGTATGGGACTGATTGGAAGATCAAGCTCTGGACTTTAAGGTTACAGGATCAAGCTTATTGACCATTCAACCACTGTGTCGATTCGGTCAATGCCTTTCATAAGCATGCACTTTACCCTGACACAGCGGACTCCAGTGGTAACGAGTTCTCACTAAAGCTTCAGGATATCCACCCAGTCGCCATCATTGACCTGGATATTGATATTTAGATTATGGATTTTCGTAGGATTTTGGAGTGATTTCGTTGTAAATTTGGTCATGAACCAGACTCAGTCCATAGTTACGTAATCGTTCTTCATGGATAACTTCACAGTAGTGATCGTTTGTGTACATATGTCTTTCATGTTTCAGTTTCGAATAAAACACCAAAAAAGAAGAGTGCGTATAAGAATTAATTTAAACAATACTCAGTATTAAAAATGAAGTCGGAAATCCACTGACGGAAGTAGACGGATACATACTACTCTTTAAACTACTGTTTAGTCAATGTTTTCACTTACATTCATTGTGTGATTACATTTACCAATGTTCCTACCCAACAGGAAAGGAAAAATAATTTTATGATGAAAGTTAAAACAACAAATAAAACAGATTTTGCTTTACTTACCTATAGCCAAAGTAACTTCCAACATGACCCCACTTATCTTTCAAATAGGTTATCTGAAAGCAGAAGGGAAGTAAAAGCAAGAACACTCGTAAGACTAATCACAACAATGTTTCTCTTTTTATTTAAACTTTAAACACTTCATTATTTTTGCTATGTAGAGCCAGACTAATAGATGCACGTTGGTGAATAAGCTGCTCGAAGACATATCCAAAATGATCACATATTTAGCTGTCATCATCACCACACAAATAGTAATAGGAAGAAACTCACGGGAGTATTGAGGCACTTAGTCAAAAAGCCTATAAACTAATTGAGATCGATCGGTTCTCTGCTTAGTCCAATAAAACAGGAGAAAATCACAAGTATGGATATATGAAAACCAACACACTTTGCGCAGTGAATCGCTCCGGCGATTCAGACAGCAGACACTCCACTGAAGTGCCTACTCTTTTTTCAAGCTTAGTCACGTATTAATGGCAGTTAGAGACCCATTGAGAACCAGGGAGTACTTGACAGCTGTTTTGTCCTCGTTTTCTAACTCTTCAGCAATACATACCTACTGAGGTTAGAACCGAGGACCTGTGAGTTACAAGGCAAACTCGTGTACCATTCAGCCACTGGAACCCGAATCTTCAGTACATGAATTCCAACTTCTACGAATTCACGATCTTAATATTCCATAGAGTTACAGCAGAGATGATGTTTACAATTATTACAACAAAAAAAAGACTAAAAGTGGAGATTAACAACACTACTAGAATTGTGTTCCATATTTACTTTTGAATGTTTCACTAAAGAAAGTGAAAATAATCAAACTTTAATTTGGGTTGTCTTTTTACCGATAACAACATTTAGTTCCGTCTTATTAGTACTTTTAGTGATCTAAATGGTTTATTTGTCTTTCTCCTTATGATTCCTGTTGAGTAAACAGTAGGTGTTTCAATTATTTTTTCTTCTTTTTTTTCATTGTCCTTAATGTATGTAATTGATATTATATTAGTAACCTAATTGCATTCATTATCCAATATGAATGAACTTTTAAGTGTCCTAGATTAGCCTCCTCCTAGCATTCAGAAAAAAAAAACAGTTTGAACACATTTTCTGATAACATTTAAACAGTTGTGCTTCTATATACGTCGTATATATATGTCGTAAAAGTCAATCATCAGTATGCCTAAATGAAAAGTTTTCAACCAGAAAAGAGAGAGAGAGAAAAAATAACGTTTGTCAAACAACTAGTAGTAGATTTTTAAGCATACATATATGTTGACATTTTCGCTCAAATGCTAATTATCTGGTAGATTATTATTATTATTATTTCAAACGTATTAAAATTTAATATGAGAAATGAACTGTAGAGTAAGTAATACACACTGAAATTTCATATTTGTTTCATGAATAAGGAAAAGTTTTGTCCTTTTTGAAAGATATTTTAACAAAGAATTAAAAATGGACAACATTTTTGAAGTACAAAGAAAAAGCTTCAAGAAATTTTCAGTTTTCAATTTTGACCGAATTGTTAATGGTGCGACCTGACAGAGGCCCAAGAGTGGTGCTGATGGACAAAGATGACTACATTGCAAAGATGAAAACTGTGTTAAATGACTCGTTGAAGCTTAAAGTTGACAGTTGATGCAGTTGAAATCATATCACAAACGCACTGAGAGATCTTCTAAAGAAGAAATTGATTGACAACAATACGTACAGTGATTTGAAACCCCGAGGGTCCCGCTTGCCACACATGTATGACCTTCCAAAGATACACAGAACAAGTCCCCCTGAGACCTATACTTTCGATGATCAACTCGCCCCAACATAAGGTTGCACGTTGGCTTGCGGAGAATTTGGAACCTATTCGTCAACAGCTAGCTGTGTACATTATCAAAGACTCATTTCATTTCGCTGAAAGTGTGAACCACATGAACGTTTTAAATAAGCTCATGGCGTCATTTGATGCAACCTCCTTGTTCACAATGATTCCAATCAATGAAACTATTAAGATAATTTGTCAGCAGTCTGATCTTCTCCCACTCTCACAGTCGAAATTCAAACGCCTACTGCTAATGTGTACCATGGATGTGCAATTCCAATTTGACAAAACTCTTTACCGCCAAATAGATGGTGTATCTATGGGCATTTCACTTAGCCCTGTTTTAGCACATATATTTATGTCCAACCTTGAAAGAACAGAGTTGAAGCATGCAATCGACGAAACAACTTCTTACTGTCGATATGTCGATGACATATTTGTAGTGTGCAACAATGAAAGTCATGCTTCTCATTTACTCAGATTATTCACTGATGCATATACCAATATGGATTTACTATGAAACATGAAAGTGATGGAAAGTTTTACTTCCTCCACACTGCCATGCAACGCCTAGAAGATGGTAGTCTTCAGAAGTCGATTTACCGAAAGCCTACTTGGAAAGGACAATACTTACATTTTAATAGTTTTTGTCCAAATAGCTTTAAACATGGACTAGTTAAGACCCTACACTATAGAGCTAGGAGATTGTACTCTATAGGGAAATTAGAGGAAGAATTGGTGTTTCTCAAAAAGATGTTGAAAAGAAACAGTTACCCTCAAAGGTTCCTTAACAAGTATGGAAAATCTGAAGGCTCAAATTTCAAGCAAATCACAGTTGTAAAAAGCCCATCTACATTCAGCTTGATTTTAAAGATGAAAATATTACAGCAGTTGTCAACAGAAGACTGAGGACGTGAGCAAGAAGAGCCTATCCTGCAGCTAAGCTCGTTCCCATCTATCGAACAACTTGCTCTTCGGTGTAATCAAAAGTCTGCAGATATCCTTCTCATGTTAACTCCAACTGTATATAAAAATTTACATGTATCTGCGGGAGCAGTTACATTGGAAGAACAGAAAGAAGGGCATATCTAAGATTTTCTGAACATGTGCCAAAAAGCTTATATCTAAAGGGAATAAATGCTTTAAACAGTGCCATCGCTAGGCATCTCCTTGACACGGGTCATAAGGTGGACGTAGGCAGATCGTTCAGAATTATCAATAGGCAAAAGAGTTCAGTTCTCCTCAAGTTTGCTGAAGCGATCTCCATCAAGCGCCTGAAACCCGATTCCTGCGTTCAGAAAGAAGCGGTTATCAGTTTTTCCTTGCCCTGGTAACTGAATATTTTCACCTCTCTCTCATCTGATTGCGTAATGCCGAAAGTTTCCATTGTGTATGATCATTATCGTTCGGAATATATATATATATGTATAATTAGTATGTGCATTTATTGACTGATTGATTTCTGTTTAAAAATGAACTCTGTGCAAGTATGTTAAAACTGTTTCTGTAGATAATGACTTTAGCCTGTAAGCAGCTGATGAGTAGCCAACGGAATAAATTATGTTACCAAAAACTGTTGTTCTTGCTTTATTCAAATTCATTAAGGGGAATAAATGTACAAAATTTTCAGTTAGACTAACTGAGAAAAGTCTTTATTGTAAAACTCAAGTTTATTCATATGAATATGAATATTACACTTCAGAGATTATAGAACTACATCAAATTAACTTGGATATAATCTCACAAGGATCATAGTACTTCTGTAAACGATACATTAGCAGGGAACTAAATGACATCTAAGGAAACCATTCAGCTGTAAAATATGTTGTCCTTTAATGAGTTGGCAGTGTCCAATGAATCTGAAATGCTGTCCTTATTCAGGTTATCTTAAATTAGTTAAAGGATATGAGTCAACTTTTTTGGTAGTGGCAGTTTGAATTATCCATGTCCTGAGTTGAACGTAAAAATTTCAAGTATTCGAATTAAATCTCTAATGTCAAAACGACTGTTGTTCCATAAGTCTTATGGACTTATTATTTTCGAAGTGAAGCAACTCGGGATCTAACAGTTATATATCTACTATTGATAACAGAAAAAAGACCATATTTAACGTTTTGATCAAATTAGACTTAGTGACAGATTTTTGAAAAACGATTTCAAAAGAATGGACACGGAACAAAAAGTACTCTTTTCGATAAATTCATCATCAGGTTCTACAATTATATATACATTATAATGAATGAATGAATTAATCTTATGAACGACATTAATGTTTAAATAACATCGGTTCGACAATATTGATAGATTGCAGCTCAGTAGCATTAACAAAAAATAAGCTGAATGTCAGAAGAATTAGGAAAGGTGATAGTACAAATTCATGAGTTTATAGTCTCTACTGAGGGCCAGGGCAGTAGTAGGGGCTGGACTTGTTTCTTTTGGACACACAGCACTGGTTTTGTGAGGCGAATTGCAATAGCCTCTGCTGTTTGGAGCATGCGGTGCTTTGTCGTCCATAAGACTAATTCATTCATTCACTATAATGTATGTATATAATTGTAGAACCTGATGATGAATTTATCGAAAAGAGTACTCTTTGTTCCGTGTCCATTATTTTGAAAATTTTAATGGGCATTTTTAATCAGTTAAAAACAGTTTCACTACTTACCCCACCTAAATCCATAGCTTGATTTAATATCATTACAATACCACGATAGTCATTGTCAATCCACATTGGACTGGATGTGATTATGTTGATATGCGATTGAGGTTGATGTTGTTGTTCCTCCTGTTGTTGTAGATGACTGAAATGGTGTTGTCTTGTGATTTTATCATTATTAATATTATTGTTATTCAACTTAGCCAAAGCTATAGCATAGCCTAGACCGAAACCTTTGTGTTTTAAGTCATGAGAAGAACTTTTCAATCGGATTGCATTGATCAGTTCACGACCATGGTAACGACCTAAGAAGATATTGCCTTCAGTTAAATAACTTCCAGGCATGCCAAGTGCAACAAACGCCTCTCCAGATTGATTGCCTTATAAGAAAATATATTAAATAGAAGTAATTAGACGTTAATTAGAAACTCAGTCATGATTCCTTTTAAAACAATACACAAATGATATAATTTTTTTAAACATGCAAATAATGAACTCTGTTTTTAAGCAATTTGAACTGGTTTTTAAGTACCAATAGCATTCAGTAGTTCCTTTATTTAAGCTATGGTAATAATGTTTCAAGTCTAATGGATATTACTCAGATATATTTCCATCAGTTCAGTATTTCAGAAATAGAATGATCTCTAAAATGGGCGAATATCTGTAATCCGCTGAAAGTACCATTCAGATGATTGTGGCTGTTCATTCATTAATCACTGACAAACTGGTCATCTATTATGGATATTTTCTTGCCATCTAGTTTCGAGTTATAAATAAAAAACTGTATCCTGAATAATTTGATCTTCAAAACTTTTCTTGGATTCAGATGTCATCAAAATGTCTATTCTTTCAGCAAAATCTGTAATTTACGCCCCACACGACCAATCCTGACCCACTTTAAGCTATACAGTGCTTAATACTATACTAGAATTTACTGTACAACTGGTGTTGCTATTTAGATACTAATTTCTACACAGAAACTGATGGAAAAGCGAATGTTCTTAACTTCTACGAATGAATATCTATCTAGCTATTCGCATACAGTTGCATGCAGACTTCACAAAATCTCAAACGAAGATGCAGGCTAGAAGTGACTTCAAAACTGAAACAGATGATTACAAGAAATCTGTTAAGACGACTGCTTACTCTGTTCACACAGTTTATCTTGTGACGTAAGCGCCAATACCACATCTTAGGTAAATAGTAGACTGAGGTACAATTATAAGTCTTTACCTCATTATGGCAATTATGTACACTGTGAAGCAGACAAACTTATTTCAGTCACCATCATCAACATTGTCACCAAGGTAACATTATTCATTCAACATCAGCCAGCCTTCCAAAGATGATTATTAGCAGAAGAAAACTGTTTTAACTGAGGTTTGTTTTGTGGCAGTTGAAATGAATACAGTGACAGATATTGATATTAAACGGTTAGAGGCAATTGGCCACAGGAAGCCTTGATCGACCTAGGTTTCGTGCTAGTTGGCACTCGCCAGTCAGCTAGGCACATGCGCAACGTTGAACGAACTCATGTCCCTTCTGAGATTCAAACCCACGTCATCCAGTGCTGCAGTCAGAGACGCTACCACTGAGCTATTCGGACTCGCGATTGACCTCCTTCATGACTTTTTTTGGATACCTTTGATTGGACACTAGTTAATAACTATTGTAGGGTAGGTTTCGTGAAACCTAGGTCCAAGGCTTCCTGTGGCCGATTGCCTCCAACCATTTATTATCATCAAATCAATGTGCACCGTGACGGCGAGCTACCTAGAATGGTGGCCACATTGCAAACCTAACTGATAGAATTCAGTCTGCACCGAAGATAGGACTAGATACATCACACTAGTTACTAGTGTCCAGTCAAAGTAGATACACAGATTCTTAATCGAATGTAGGGTTCATTTTTGTTCATTAAATGTTTCTCTGTTTCTTAAATGCCATTAAATTTAAAAAGTCGGTAGGCAATTTTATGATTTATGATACTGATGATAAAATGTTCAATAAATTTGCAGAGCGAAATACGAGAGAAATATCTAAGTATGATGCAACCACATCATTCCACTGCAGCAAGAAGTCAGTGGTTTATTTTAAAGAAGAAAATGACTTTGACGCCATAACAGATGCTGAGTTTTTTTTCTAGAGTTACTTCATCTGTAGTATAGTTACTGAGATGAAAAGAATTTTTATTGCATTCCATCTAGATGTGACACTGGTAACTGAAAAATGAATATTGCTACTTTCTAGCGCATAAAAAAGTTGCACGACCCAGTATCTTAATGAATGCCGCATGTTTTATACAGTTATTCAAAATAAAAGCTCTTTGTGACATCCTGATATTCTTATTTGTTTAGTATATAGGTCGATAAAAGTAAAGTCCTTCAGAAAGAGACACCTTTTTAGAATCTTCTGTTGTGTGCTGTGTCTTCAGAAGTTGAGGATATTCTTGACTAATTAAACAACAACACGGTTCATTCACTATTTGTAAATCATTTTCCAAAAGCAGAATTTTTGAATGAAAGATTTTATATACTACTGATCAATATAAGTAGCTGGAAACCAAACACCTCAACCAGTACTGTTTGCTAGCCAGACCAATATAATCTTGAATGGTATTAAGGCTGATGAAGAGAATGAAAACTTATGTCCAATGTAACATTATAATCTCTAAATCTCAGTCATTCAATTACCTGCAACTGGGACACTGATCGTTTCAATGACAGTTGAAATTTTCACATGCAAGAATTAACATCAGTTTTATCCACTATATAATTAAACCATATTTAATTTTCGAGGTTCTATTTGACTAAAACGTACAGTGTGTTTAAAGAAAAACTATGGTCACCCTTTTGTCCTACCTGGAGGCTTTCCACATGAGAACATTCAAATGCTGTCAAAGTTAGAGAATTAGTTAGACCCTTTTTGAATGAGTAATCCTCTGAAATTATTGGAATCTATCTGGAATCCCTTTGAATCTTAATGAAAAAAATGTCTGACTCACCTGCTTGTACATCAGCACTGAATCCAGCAAGACATGCCCCCTCTTCTTGACTATGACATGGATCCACAGAAACATACTGCATAGACGTTCCAGTGTACAAGGCACAATTACCTATTCCAAGTGAACTTTTTGATTTTATTGAAGACTTGAAACGATTTCCTGAGTCAACTGCATCATTAGAAATATCATTCATTAAATCTGAGTTGAACAGATAACGAAAATCACAACCAAGTTGAATTCCATCAACAGCATTGTTTGCAGCTGCTACTGTTCCACCTAACCAATGAGAAACTAGAGAGAGAAAAAAAGAAGTAAATTTTAGTCTAAAAATTATCAGACAGGTATATTGCATACTAAATGAAACTTGTTAATTTCCCATTATTTGATTCAAGTGAAAGAAAATACTCAGTTCAATTAACCTTCATTCAACCCATTAAACTTGTCCGATCGTATTGCAACTTCAAGATGGCGTGAATCATGATATAGGCTCATTCGTTTTGGATAGAGTTTGTTTGCTTTCATTGTGATATCTCTGTAGACTTCATTCCTTATCACTGCTTCTCGGCAGTTATACTTCCAGTGGGAAGTCGTGACCAGTAGGGTGCAGCAGGTCGGGTGTGAGGACAAATACTCACCGAAGACATTGGCTAGCGGTTGCGTTATGTCGTGAATTGGCAGAAGTTAGAATTCACGGGCCATTGGATTGGGTCCCAGTGGCTTAATGGTCTACGAGCTAGCTCACCTTGTAACCAGAATGTCCTGGGTTCTAACCCTGGCAGTGGTTGTGTACTGCTGAAGAGTCCCAGCCTAGGACGAAACAGTTGTCCAGTACTCCCAGCTGGTTTTCCAGTGGTTCTCTAACTGATATCAACTCATGATGAAATCCTGTAAACAATATTACCTGTTCAGACACTTGTAATCTCCTGTGGTTATTGGTGTTTACTCACAAACATGCTGTGATCAAAATTTATCTCACTGATAAAGAAGCAATATTTATTGTATTAGGGAAGTTAGAACTTAAGTGCTTCTCTTAAGTACCTTCTGCAATAAACTGTGCGAAACTTTAAGGCATATATTACAAACAGTCAATTTTTAGAGCAATGAAACCAGTTTGGTTAGTTTGACTAAGTTAAACATTAGGTTACAAGATTTTAACAACTACCAGCATACTTCGAGCAAAATGATGGTCTCATATATAGGTAGCCCATAAAATAAAGCCAGGCGTTTCTAACTGTTAACCATATTTCATTCAGCATACGGTAAGATACCCACAAACGAATAATTCTAGCAGTGAGCGATTATTGCAAAGGAAGTAAGAAGATGGGTCGAGGTAAAATTCGAATCAACTGCCTTCACATTACCAATTCAGATTCAGCTGCGCTACAAGAACGAACTACTAATTAGTTATCACTTCACTGCAGACTACACAGGTAGTAGCCAACTATTTTGAATCATGCCATGATCAAACTTCCACTTTATCTGAAATCACTGTCCAATAACGGCATTCATTATCAATAATGTTAAGACTGACAAGCTCCTTTGTCAACCATGAATTCGTGATTTATGCATGCACTGACATGATAGCCTTATTGGACGGTTCTGATCAGTTTATTTATGGTTTGATTTTCTGAGGGAATGAGATGCCATACAACCAGTCAGATTCGTTTAAGTTATGGCCTTAATTTCTGAGGTTTTATAAGTAAAATATATCATGCATTTTGTCGTTTAGGTCGGCGATTTCTCCACTCTGACTTTTATGTCCATCTCAGTGTAAGAGATAATTTCTGGTGATCAGTGTTTTATAGTATCGTGTTCTGGAGGCGCATTCTTGTCAGTTTAGAGGAACCCACAACCCAGTATCAGCTCATCATAACATATTTTGGCGACGGCGTTATTCACTTCCTTGTAGACATAACAAATAGTCTAAGACTCAAGGCTGTATGAAATAGTCTTAGTATACAGTAACCAAAGACTGAAAATAATGATACAATGTAGGCATTTGAAGAAAAATCAAGTAAAATTATTCAGCGGCAACCAATGAAAGTAACAGTTGAAACCTGAAGTGTCTATACAGCCTTAGAAAAAGCAATCCTATTTTATGGTATTTAATTCTTTTTCATTACTTCAAAACTGATGACAGATAATTTTTTTATTTCAGACAGTTTTATGGGAACAAACAAAATGATTAAAGCAGAAATCTGAAGAAAACCAACAAAAAAACACTAAGTGCAAACTTGGAAATTAATCATGTCTGTCCATCAAGCATCTTGATATTGACAAACCAGAAAAAAAAATTGCAAATACCAAACGTTCGCAAATACTTTCGATAATAATTTTCTTTTCTAATATTATTTTTTCATTCTTACTGAAAAGTCATATGAAGCATGTTATTGTTAGACAAAATTACTGGAAGACAAATATTTAGGATCAAAAATAATTAAGTGAAAGGTGATTACAGAAACTAGTGAATCTTTCTAAACTGATTTGATTTTTGCAATATTTCAAATTCTACAAGATATTTTGAATAATTTTCGAAAAAAATGAATATTAGATGTTGTCACCTAGTTTTCGTACTTATCTGTTTTAATTGTCAAGTAAACTAATGATCATTACTATCCCCTTAGGTTCTGAACGGAACATAGATCCTCAAGAGTACATCTCCACTTCACTCTGTTCTATGTATTTCTTTTTTTAACTGTCTCCACGACGGCCCATAACCTCTTATTTTCTCCCCACACAGTCTTCTCCAAGTCAACTTCGATCATAAGCATAACTCGTCGTCTTCCATTCTCATTCCACTTACGGGCTTGAAGCACGATATCACTCAACGGTTTTCGATCCAGCTTAGTTTCCTGAATATTTGTTGGGCAATCGATTTTTGGTTGATTCCCTGTTGCTCATGGCCGTCTGATATCCAGCATAGAGCTAAGGCAGTCTCTAGCAGGCTGTTGGAAATGCTTTTGTTGACACGCAAGCCAAGTCTCAGAAGTATACAGAAGAAATGACTTGACGCTGAACTCATGAGTTAGGTTTTAATAATAGTCCACTGATTGATAGACAGTATTTCCGTCATAAAAGTAAAGGGATTTATTGAGAGTTTGTCAATAAATTAATAGGTCGTGAATGTCTACTACTTATAAACTGTATTTCAGTAGCATGCCAATGAAGAATAGCTATTATTCTGGGCTGGCCAATCCGATTAATAACATAACTGTAGTAAAGTAAAGTAATTATGCAAGTCACTTGTTAGATGAGAAAAACTTTCAAATTTTAGTTCGTGCATTCAAACCGAAAACATTCCTTACCAATTAATATAAGGAAAATGAAAACTAGTATGAAACTAGGTCGAAACAGCTCTTCAGTACACCCTGGCTTTCAGCAGTTCTGTAAATGATATGAATCCATGATCAAACAAATCAAATCCCTACAGATGAACTGTTGAAAATGGAATCTAGCTCGAAATATCACTGCTGACTTTCTTCGGCAATACATAATCTATTTGCTTTCCCTGAAGTAATATGCAACGCAGTTAATAAGGTGCATTACAAATGTTTATGGGTCGTATTTAATCAACTCATGGTCATTATTATCATGAACAGTGAGTAAATAAGTTTAAATTAGTTTCAACGCTGTTATGGTAGAGGAAGTGAAGGTTACAGATGGTTAATATAAAATTTGTTTAAAAAATATATATAAGTGAGTAATATTGTTTCAACTGGATTATCTTCAGGCCTCATTCTAATATAAATGTAAATATAAATGAAAATTTGACCAATGATAGTGACTTAAGAGTCAGTGAGAAATACTGTGAATTATACAGTTTACAGTGCGTCGATGGCACAGCTGTTAATACGGTTGCCGACCACGTACATGGTCCGAGGTTTGATCCTCAGCCACCGACGCACTCCTCTACCTCTCGCTAAGCCAGTAATAAGACTGGTAAAGAGGGAAGGTTGGGCATGAGGCTAGCAACCCCATCCTGTAAAATAAACACTGCTACCGAAACTTCAGGCCTCTAGCTTGAAGCCCTATGTTCCACTGGGAACGTGAAGGGAAAAAAATCTACTAAATAAGAAAAAAAGTGAACTTTTTCTTAATCATTTGGACACTCTACGTGGTCTTCTTCACAAGAACAGATGAACTTTTAAGTGCAGAGACATGTGATTCATCCTTTGCTTTAACAACAATAGACACAGACTTTCACTTTTGGAAATGCTTTTGTATGGAGCTTCACTATCCGCATTCCCATTGAAATGAAGTTTTATGCGTATATATTTTCAGCATTGACTCATTCCAGCTTTCTGTACGTGTCCTTTAATAAAGCCACTAGGATAACCAATTTCAAGCATCACGTTTTGGATGTTCTCTAATTAGTTTTTTAAATGTTCAGAGAGTTACATACATCTCAATGTATTTGTGAGGGGTCTGAATACAGTTGTTTCGCTTGTTAGTAGAGATATCTGTAAATAAGAGGGATGGGATTGGCAGGAGAAGAAGAAAGAGATTATGAAATTATTCACTCTATACTACTAAAATGGTAATTAGAAACTGATGTCTGTTTTCTGTAGGCTACAAAACACAAGTAATTCAGTCGACATCACACGGCACATGACATGAAAACTAAAAACAAAGTTTTAATAAAAACTAGTGACTGGCCCTATTCAGGTAGGTAGACACCTGGGGTTCTAGTGAGAAGTCGTGATTAGTAGGGTGCAGCAGGTCGGGTGTAAGTGGCCGTTCTATATCGTGAATTGACAGAATTTGGAATTCATGAACCACTGGACCGGGAAGCCAGTGGCTTAATGGTCTACGAGCTAGCTTACCTTGTAACCAGAGGGTCCTGGGTTCAAGCCCTGGCGTTGGGTGCGTACTGATGAAAAGTCCCAAACTAGGCTGATGAAACAGCTGTCCAGTACTCCCAGCTGGTTTTCCATTGGTTCTCTAACTGATGTCAGCTCATGATGAAACTCTTCAACCAATCAAAAGCACAATCCCTACAAACCGATACTTGGAAAACGTTTTTAGTAAGATTTCTTAAATTCACTTACAGAAGATTGAACTGAAAATATTTCCCCTCTTTCAAGCGAGATAAGTGGAAAGTGAATGTTGAAAATAAATACAAAAAGACAACAGTAGTAATAATGTAACTGTTCCATGTCCACGACAAACATTTCACTGACCAACAGATTACTAGTCATCTATTCCTGCAAGTCATTCAACAAATGTCCGACCATCCATTTTGTTTTTTAAAAACAATCATTATTTTTAAAGTTTGCATTAATCGCTTAGAT